AAAAAAATATTACCTTTTATCAATACCTCTAAGAACACTATCTACAAGGGGCTGACAATACCGCAGGCAGCTAAATTTCGTTAATTTATCTATTAATATCGATAGAACGGGAGTTAGATATCCCTGCTCCATATTATCCTCCCGTTCCAACATTTTTAACGAGATCGCCAAAGGTTCAATAACCTATAAAATTTAAATTTATTTAGAGAATATCATTGTATTACTGTTGCATACTCTTTAACAAAAAAACATTCCTCTTGCCTAAACATTGCAAATCCAATTTGATCACATACTTGTTCTACTTCTGAAAACATTTCAGAAAGCATCTTATCTATTAATTTCATGGATTGGTAATAAGAATTCCATCTTGTCTCGTTGGGAGCTATTAAATATCTTCCCAATTTCTCCAATAAAATATCCGCCATTTTTGACGACATATTTTGTTTATTAGCTAAAGCAAAACATTTTGCAAAAGTGGATCTAGATATTCGTTTATAATTGAGATCACAATCTGCCATCTCCGCATCTCTTGTTGCAATAAGGTTAAGATTATGGCAACAAAGTTGATGTTTTTGTAGGCTGATAGTAGGAATAATTGGGTCATCAACGGATAATATGTCATCCAAATTTATCAATTCCATATCCTCACTAATATCTTCTTCAATTTCTCCAAAAACTCTAGAAAAAATAAATTTATTTAAATATTTTTTGCTAAATATAAATATTACTTAAATGCCTTGACAAAGTTGGTTCCATTGTCAGTCACCATCTTCACCACCTATTTATGAATTTTATAGAACTTATGGATGCCCATGATTTCGTTGGCCAAAACATCATATGTTTGCCTCCCAATTATCCTCTTCAGTGCCAAAGCGGCTGACCTTCTCTTGAGGGTTAACGGATCCAGCTAATGTGCAGTAAGTCCAATAAAAGCCCTAATAAAATAAACATTATAAAATTTATATAAATATAATATACCTTCGATGACCACTCCGACAATCAGCAATGGTTCATATATAAGAAATTTCAGACAAATCTCTTATAAGATTTGTCGTCATATAAGAGAAGGAAGTAGATATCCTGTTGCCCAGTTTGGCGATAAATAATTTTTGTCGCAGGAGAAAATGTTTTAATCATTTTTTCAAATGAAGGATCATCAACCAGAGACAGTGGTTGGAAGGTGTCAATAATAAAATCCATGATAACCTTGTCTGCTGTTTTTTGCGATACAGCTGGAATGTTTAGATTGTTGAAATTTAATTTAGATTGTCTGGATTTGCAACCAGAACCACTTTGGTTTTGCAGTGATATATTTTTTTGTGTAGAGAATTCGTTGATGTGTTTGGTAATCTCATTTTTAAATTCACTGTGCTTTTTCTTTATAAAAGATGAAAATAACTTCTCCTGAATCAAATTTCATTTTTAAAATTTTATATGGAAATTTAAAGTTAAAAAAACAATGTACAGGCTGAATGTAAAACCTATATAAACAAAAAAATGATAAAGGGTTTAACACAAATTTTGTTAAACATATTAAAGTATATTATTAAATTTATATATGGTTAAAAAAGGTTCATATAGGTTATTTTAAATTTTAAGTTTACAATATTGTCTTTGTCTATCATTATTAAAAGTTGCCCAAGATGATATGGGCTAAAGATTTTGATAAAATATTTTTCTATATATGAATATAATGAGCCTTTTTGGCATTTAAGAACTATGGATTAAGGGTTTAACAAATTTTCTTAAACATATTAAAGTATGTTTTATTAGTAGTTAAAAGGGGGATCTTAAAAATTTAAGTTTACAATATTGTCTATCATTATTAATAGTTGCCCAAGATGATATGGGCCTAAGATTTTGATAAAGTATTTTCCTATTATGAATATAATGAGGCTTTTTGGCATTTAAGAACTTATAGATTGAGTCAAATGATACAAAAAATACTTTCAATTCAAAATATATTATTAAAAATAGCCCTAAAAATTGTGTCAAGAGGATTATATAATCAAGCTCAAACTGAAACTATAATACTAATTGATTAGATTTAACATATTATAATAAAGAAATAATAGAATAGATATTTATTTTGGTGAAACATTGCTAAGTTCAATACAAATAACATTGAACTGGATGTTTTAATTATATTAAAGAAAGTCAAAATACATTATAAAAGCTTAATTATTAGTTATTACACTTCTATTTATTATAAATACTCTTCTTTTGAAAATTAAACTAATATAATAGTAATATTAAAAAATAAATGCCTAATTATTATATATAAATAACAAAACCAAGATTAACTCCTCATCAAATATTTTATTAATTATACTGTATCTAATAATTCATTTTTTTTATAAAGAATCTGTATCTAGATTCCATTTCTGTAGGACCTGCTCAACTCATTAATGTAATAAATTAAATTTAAACATGTTGACATTAAGATTATCAAATAAAAAAAATTTATAAGAATTAATTGTAAATGTCTCTTTAAGTTCGAGGATGATATTTTGGAAGATGATATTATCTTCTTACAGAGACGGCATTTGGTGCTGATCATATTATAAGAGTTGCTTTCATCCATTTCATATAAAGTAAAATATTTACGTAATTTCAAAAATGGTAAAAGATTCTCATTCTCACTTATATCTGCTGTTACATCAATGGTAGAAGCAATAGAATCTTTTAAATCTATAATGGACATTTACATTTACCTATTAAAATAAATATTAATATATTATTATAAATTTATATTAAATAACTTGTAAGAGCTCTAAATCTCGTAAAATTTAGGAAATGAATAAATATATCTATAAAATAAATGGTGGAATGGAAGTTGATAATGAAAGTTGATAAAATATGAAGATAGATATTTTTTTAAAAATTATATTTTAATTTAATTTTCAAAATTTTTATTTTATTTACTGCTTTTTAAATAAAAAATTAATTTTTAAAAATATCGGGATCGAATTTTAAACAAAATGATCTCGATCCTCAATTTAAGTCAGAATCATAAATCTCGTAAAATTGACAAATTTGCGATCGAATCCAGATCGTCGATCTTTTGATTCGATCTTTTAACAACTCTGATTTTAAAACATAAATTATAATTAAATAGTTAGGTGTGATACCATTATTGTCTCTATATTATATTTTATATCCTTAACTTTAATGATGTTCCTTGATTTTACAGCTCTCATTATTCGACTTAATGATCTTAAAAAAATAAAGATGAGTTCTTAAAATGAAACGATATATATCTTGCAAAGCATTATTAAAATATTATTCTAAAACATAGATTATAATTTAACACTTAAATTTTATACCATTATTGTCTCTATATTATACTATCATTTAAATTCATGTCATGAAAATTTTTGCTTTAGATTTATCGCTTCAAAAACATTGGGGGCCATTATCATCAAAATCTCACAACCCATCCGTGTGAAAGTGATTGCGTGAGATTTCGAAATCTCACAGATCACTTTCACACGAAAATATTTTAATAATGCTTTGCAAGATATATATCGTTTCATTTTAAGAACTCATCTTTATTTTTTTAAGTTTAAGTCGAATAATGAGAGCTTTAAAATCAAGAAACATCATTAAAGTTAAGGATATAATATATAATATAGAGACAATAATGGTATCACACCTAACTATTTAATTATAATCTATGTTTTAAAATAATATCTAAGTAATGCTTTGTAAAATATATATTGTTTCATTTCAAGAGCTCATCTTTATTTTAACATCATTAAAGTTAACAATATAATAAAATTTCTCTTTTTGATATATATAAATTTAATTAGATTATATATAACAAATAAAATTAAGCATTACTAGGTGTGGTGGGTAGTCTAGTTAGTAAGACTTACATTACCTATCCTCAAAATACGGGTTTAAATCCATGTAGCGTACATTTTTTATTTAAATTGTTTTTTTTTATCTATCGTATCTAAATAGTCGCCTCCTCTCTATAGTTTTAAATTTATAATTTTAGTCTGCATATCATACCAAATAGTGTGTGATAAGATATGCAGATTCGAGGTCTGTAATGGGCAGGTTTTTAGCGAAAAGATTTATTTAACCTGCCCTCGCTCTCACTTTTAATTTTTTTTATATATATTTTGTTTTAAAATTATTTTATGGCTTTAATGTATTTTTAATTAAACATAATATAGAATATTATGAAAAACTATTTACTGTTCTGCTCATTTCGCCTGAAAAATATAATTCTCCCAAATTTTTTAACACTCTCGCCTAATGTTGAAAATATTTTTTTTAAAGTACGGGCAAAAAAACCACACAATCCAGACCTCTAGCTCAGATTATTGATAGGAGGCTCCAATTAAAGTTTACCAATATTTAGGTAGGGAAAAGATCCTTACTAACATGCTAATTTACACAACATGAAATTTATAAAATAACCAAATACTCCGATCCCATGATATTTCTTATACAAAGTACATCTTCTCGAAATTTAGACAAAGCTCATATATGCCAGAAAATTTACTAGAGGCAAACCGACTTTTCTACCCAACCCTCTAAAAATCACTGCAAAGAAACAGTAAGATAATTCTTAGCCTAAATGGCTTAATCGTAATGCTTATTTTGTTTACCTAATATAATGTTTTAAAGATAATCCATCTCTATATTATTTTGTACTGAATTGGGTCACAAATATTAAATAAAACTTTATTTGGTATAAGAAAATAGACGAAGAACTTTATTGATATAAATATTTATACATAATTTTAAATTTAATAAATACATCATGGAAAAATATAATTATTATCATATAATGCATATCAGAATGTAATTTAATATTATTTATAAACTACAACTTTCATAAAAAATATATATATAAAGCAATAAATTATAATATGAATGAAATATATTTATATAAAAAATTTTTTTTAATAAAAATAATAAATAGTGATTAGATATAAGATAAATCACAATCTAAAACATTTTCAAAATGACTCCCCCCATTTTTTATATAAATAAAATTATTATTAAATATTTTAATATTGTAGCGAATATAAAATGGGTCATATCGGGCCCATACAAAATTATTATATTTTATATAAGTAAAAATAGCCGTATTTAACATTGTGGCCATCGCCCTGACTTCTGTGTCAGAAGCCCATATCTGCTGTGTCATTACATTATTTAAGACATAAGTTTTTATGTCTATTTTTTTGTTCGTGTCGTAAAGATAATTTTCAATTACCTTTCCCATCTCGGATGTTAGCATAAATTGTGCCAACCATTGCCTGAGAATAACATGGAAATTTTGAGCTCCAGTAAGCTCTACACTAATCGCCCTAAATTATATAAAGTAGAATAAAATGAAATTTTATATTAATATGTTTTACCTATAAAAACAATTCCCATCACCTTCAATTTGCACCAGGATGGTGGGTTCACCAAGTTGTTTCCCATAGTCTACATCCCGACAACGTTTGGGAGGCTTTAGACCATCTTTATATGATAATCTAAATTAAATTTTAGTTGTAAAATAGCATTTAATAATGCCTATATGTAAAATTTTATCAAATGTTCTTACATATATATATATATATATACACTTACATTTGCAGCTATAATTAATTTTTAATGAAAAAAAGATAATAATCAATGGCCTGATCATTTTTCAATGTTAAAATATTATATATTGCATTAAACTTATAATGGCTAATTTTAATAAATTAATCATGACATATCTAAAATTTACTTTCCCCATAGAATAATTGATTTTCTATAATCTTGAAGGCGGTGTTAGAACATTTTAGGAAGTCATATATATCATTATAATTTGAGCTAAAATATTTCTGAAATAAAAAATATATTGTTAAAATTTTACTTCATAATCATATCATATTATACACTGGGGAGACATCCCACATTTAAGTGGGCACTCCACCACCCCATAGAGGGCGTCTCCAGTGCAGTGAATTTGCATTCACTGTTTGGCAGAAAATTTACCCTACTGTCTGGGTCCTGTTTAATTTGAGTGGGATGACAGGTACCACTCGTGGATAAGCCAGGATCCACAAAGTTGACAGTAATTTACCCTACTGTCAGTGTCCCGTTTCATTTGAGTGGGATGACGGGTACCACTCGTGGATAAGCCAGGATCCACATTGTAAATAATGTTTATTTATTATAAAAGATAAGATAGGAATATGTATTAGAAAAAAGAGGAGGAGGTGGGGTGATTAAGGAGTAAGAGGAAGAAGAATTAGTTTTTGTAATTTATTTATTTTTTTTTGTTTTGTTTTCTCTTTTTTGTTTTGTTTTCTATTTTTTTTTATATATAATTGGTAATAAAAGATTCTTGTGTTAAAATAATGTTAATATCATATTGATCAAGGAGTTTCCTAAGTATAGTTGTTTTTGAAAGTAGGCCAGGAATGTTGTAGGAGTAGATTGTTAGATTTTTGAAAATTGACATAATATAAATTTTAAAGTAAATTGTAAGATAAATTTGAATTTTGAAATAGAAAAAAAAAATGGGGAAAAATAAGCAGACGATACTTGGAAAATTGAAAATGCAAAAAGCAGACAATAGAAATGATGAATAAGAAAATATCCATGAAATTGAGTTTTAAGAGAGGATTAAAGTTAAATTTTGTTTAAGAAAGAAGTTGTAATTATATTAAATGTTGATTTATATTATTTTGTTTAAATTAAGTTAATAAGATTAATATATAGATAAAATAAATTGTTAAAGGAAATAAATAATTGAAATAAAAGATAAATAATAGTAGCCTAGGTAAAGAATTGGAGAAGATAAGAAAGAATTAAGTTATGATGAATTGATTGAGATAAATTAGTAAATAAAGAAGAGAATTTATTTCTTTGAATCTAGTAAAAATAAAAAAATTAATGAATAAAAGTAATAACTTGACAGAGATATATTATGGGATATGTATAATCCTCAGCAATTAAAAAAGAGTCTCATTACTCTCCCAAACATCTTCCATGCATTTGAAAGAATTTACTAGTTTTGATTCAGAAGAGTAGAAGTCAGGCTTTTCATGTCATAAAAAATGTATGTAGTCGCAAAGTAAATATTTAAGGAAATTAGTGTGCTTGAAAATGAAATTGTGAGTGATAGAAGTATTTGTAGAATTGATAGATATCATTATTTCTTGGAGGTGGCGATTTAACATCAGCCATTTTTCCGCAGACGAAAAAGTCTTTACTTCATAATGTCATATCATATCATATTATACACTGGGGGGACATCCCACAATTAAGTGGGCACTCCACCACCCCATAGAGGGCGTCTCCGGTGCAGTGAATTTGCATTCACCGTTTGGCAGAAAATTTACCTTACTGTCTGGGTCCCGTTTAATTTGAGTGGGATGACGGGTACCACTCGTGGATAAGCCAGGATCCACAAAGTTGACAGTAATTTACCCTACTGACAGGGTCCCGTTTAATTTGAGTGGGATGACGGGTACCACTCGTGGATAAGCCAGGATCCACATTGTAAATAATGTTTATTTATTAAAAAAGATAAGATAGGAATATGTATTAGAAAAAAGGGGGGGGGATGATTAAGGAGTAAAGAGGAAGAAGAATTAGTTTTTGTAATTTATTTATTTATTTTTTTTGTTTTCTCTTTTTTTTTTTTAAATATTATTGGTAATAAGAGATTCTTGTGTTAAAATAATGTTAATATCATATTGATCAAGGAGTTTCCTAAGTATAGTTGTTTTTGAAAGTAGGCCAGGAATGTTGTAGGAGTAGATTGTTAGATTTTTGAAAATTGACATAATATAAATTTTAAAGTAAATTGTAAGATAAATTTGAATTTTGAAATAGAAAAAAATGGGGAAAAAACAAGCAGACGATACTTGGAAAATTGAAAAAGCAAAAAGCAGACAAGAGAAATGATGAATAAGAAAATATCCATGAAATTGAGTTTTAAGAGAGGATTAAAGTTAAATTTTGTTTAAGAAAGAAGTTGTAATTATATTAAATGTTGATTTATATTATTTTGTTTAAATTAAGTTAATAAGATTAATATATAGAAAAAATAAATTGTTAAAGGAAATAAATAATTGATTTATAATGGTACTTGCTAAACTTTATAATAACTTAGGTAAAGAATTGGAGAAGATAAGAAAGAATTAAGTTATGATGAATTGATTGAGATAAATTAGTAAATAAAGAAGAGAATTTATTTCTTTGAATCTAGAAAAAATAAAAAATTAATGAATAAAAGTAATAACTTGACAGAGATATATTATGTATTATGTATAATCCTCAGCAATTAAAAAAGAGTCTCATTACTCTCCCAAACATCTTCCATGCATTTGAAAGAATTTACTAGAGTTTTGATTCAGAAGAGTAGAAGTCAGGCTTTTCATGTCATAAAAAATGTATGTAGTTGCAAAGTAAATATTTAAGGAATATAGTGTGCTTGAAAATGAAACCATCAATATTTCATTATCATGGGTACGGCTGATTAAGCACATTTTAATTTTAAAAACGACTAATTCACTATTTCAACCAATAAATATTACACAAATCTGGAGATTTTGTTCATATATAACTGAAAGATATGGATATCTATTAGCGAAATTTCAAGACTTATTTTAAGTAATATTATTTTAGATAAAATTTTAATGAATCGTTTTTAAAAAATTGGCTAAATCAACCCTTTCAACAACACTACTCATGGATAATTTCTCTTACTTCATAATATCATCATATCATATTATACACTGGGGAGACATCCCACAATTAAGTTGGCACTCCACCACCCCATAGAGGGCGTCTCCAGTGCAGTGAATTTGCATTCACCGTTTGGCAGAAAATTTACCCTACTGTCTGGGTCCCATTTAATTTGAGTGGAATGACGGGTACCACTCGTGGATAAGCCAGGATCCACAAAGTTGACAGTAATTTACCCTACTGTCATGGTCCCGTTTAATTTGAGTGGGATGACGGGTACCACTCGTGGATAAGCCAGGATCCACATTGTAAATAATGTTTTTTATTATAAGATAAGATAGGAATATGTATTAGAAAAAAGGAGGAGGGGGGGGGGGGGGTGAAGGAGTAAAGGAAGAAGAGTTAGTTTTTATAATTTGTAATTTATTTATTTTTGTTTTCTCTTTTTTGTTTTGTTTTGTTTTCTCTTTTTTTTTTTTTATATTATTGGTAATAAGAGATTCTTGTGTTAAAATTAAAAAAATGTTAATATCATATTGATCAAGGAGTTTCCTAAGTATAGTTGTTTTTGAAAGTAGGCCAGGAATGTTGTAGGAGTAGATTGTTAGATTTTTGAAAATTGACATAATATAAATTTTAAAGTAAATTGTAAGATAAATTTGAATTTTGAAATAGAAAAAAATCTCTTACTTCAAAATGAAAAAGAATTTCAAATTAAATTGTATTATATATAAATATTTGGGGTGGCCTAATGGGTAAGATGTAGGCTTGGAAACACGAGTATGAACAAGGACGCGGGTTCAATCCTGGTAAGAACCATAAAAACTTTCAAGTTTTTCTTCGATGACTGATGTGTAAAGACATATGGTATGATGAATTTCGGAGCTTAGAGATGACACCCCGGTCACCGACAGGCCTGGACAGCCGGGTGCTAAGGATACCTGTCCAATAAACAAAATGAAGGACACAAATGAAAATATGAATATGAAAGCTAGGGCGTTCCCTCCATGCGACGCGCAGGGTGTAGACCTCCATCCTGTGAAAAATAAAGTAAAGGTCAAAGCAAAGAAGACAAGACTGGCAAGTTTGAATATTGGGACGCTTAAAGGTAAGACGAGAGAATTGGCATCAATGTTGAACAGGAGAAAAGTTGATATAGCGTGCATACAAGAGACGAAATGGAAAGGACAGAAGACTTTGATGATTGGAGATGGGTATAAATTGTACTATAATGGACTTGTTAGCAATAGGAACGGTGTCGGCATCATCCTCAGTCAAGATCTAACCTCCTCAGTTGTAGAAGTCAACAGGATCTCTGATAGACTAATGAGGATAAAACTCTGCATTGGTCAATCAATACTACACATCCTATCAGTATATGCTCCTCAAACGGGTTGCAAGGAAGAAGAGAAAGATGACTTTAGAGCTATCCTTGATGAAGCCGTAATGGAAATCCCTAAGGATGACCTAGTCATAATTGGTGGTGACTTAAATGCGCATGTGGGGAAAGCAAGAGATAGCTACAAAAGGCATCATGGTGGTTTTGGATATGGAGAAAGAAATGATGAAGGAGAGCACGTACTGAAATTTGCGCAAGCCTTCGACCTTGCCTTAACCAACACCTACTATAGGAAAAAAGACAGTCATTTAATATCATATGAAAGTGGTACTAGGAAAACACAGATAGATTACATGCTAATCTCTCGCAGAAGATTAAAAGATGTAATAGACTGCAAAGTCATCCCAGGAGAAGATATCGCCGCCCAACACAAGCTTAATCATGGATTTACAAATTTCAAATAAATCCACTCAAAATAAGATAAAACTGGAACCATGCATCAAATGGGGCAAATTAAAAACAATGACAGATGCCTTTGCAATCAATGCAAACATTGAAACAATAAATTGCTCACAAGTCAGTGAAAAAATATGGACAGACCTTTCATCCAGATTAATAGACACTGCAAAATCGACGCTAGGCTTGACAAGAGGAGGCAACAAATCACACAAAGAACTATGGTGGTGGAATCAAGAGGTACAAACCACTATACAGGAGAAAAAAGCCCTTTATAAAATATGGTACAAATCCAAAAATGCAGATGACAAGTCAAGATACAAAAAATCCAAGAGATTAGCTACAAAGGCGGTGGCTAGGGCCAAATCTATGGCATACGATGACATGTACGAAGATCTACATACCAAAGAAGGGCAAAATAAAATATACAGATTAGCCAAACAGCGAGAAAAGAACTCTAGGGATATAAACGGAGCTCCGAAAGTAATCAAAAATAAAATGGGAAATTGATAATAAAGGAAAAAGAAATAATGAATAGATGGAAAGAATATTTTCAGGAGCTTCTCAACTTTAATTCCCACATATTGCATCTCGATGAACACTCCCCTTGTCAAAACCTTGTACAACCTATAACGGAACAAGAAATAATCACATGCCTCAAGCATATGAAAAACAACAAAGCTAGGGGTCCAGACGATATTCCAATAGAAAGCCTTAAAGCACTAGGAGATGATGGAATACATCTCCTCACAAATCTGTACAATAAAATACTTGGAAATGAAGAGGTCCCCCAAAAATGGAGGCAGAGCTATCTAGTTCCTATCTTCAAAAATAAAGGGGATCCACACAATTGTCAAAATTACAGGGGCATAAAACTAATGTCACACTGTCTAAAACTATACGAAAAAATAATAGAAAAAAGATTAAGAGATATAATCGAAATAGGAGAGACACAGTTTGGCTTTATGCCTGGAAGATCAACAACCGATGCTATCCATGCAATTAGGCAAATGAGTGAAAAATACAGGGAAAAGAACA